CATTAGGGTTTTCAGTCTTTGAATCTAGGAGCCTAATAAAAGCCTGCAACTATTACTGATTGTCCATTGCTAATATGAAACCCTTTCCCAATAGTATCAGCCCGACATCTGAGTATCTAAGATGGAAGCCAGTTGTGGATGTGAGGCCCCAGGCTCACAGACGGCCCTTTTGGAGTCTCCTGTAATTGGCCAAACACAGCAGTGTGTCTCAGTAAATGGCATGTTTAGTTGTCACTAGGTTTTTTAAAAAATGTAGCAAGTTACTATGAAAGAGTTATAGAATGACTATTAAAAGCTAACGATAACTAAAAAGTAAAATCCTAATAATTCTTTAAAGGGCAGGAAAATACGTGAATAAGTATCAACCTGTTACTAATGTGAAAACTGAACAGAACTTCTGAAGCTGGGCTTTTAATAGTTGTGTTCAGTCCCCTGCTGGCTCAGCAGGAAGGTGAAGGGGAAGCAGCAGTCACCAGCCTTAGTCAATATGCCCTGCTTTCTCTTCCTCCATGCCAAATCGCTCCGCTTGCTAAGCACACTCAAGTTTAGCTCTGAGTAAGTTACGTGGTTTCAAAATGATCCTCTTTGATATTTCTATCACACATGGAGAAATACTGCATGATTCACCTTATATGAAGTATCTAAAATAGACTCGTAGGAGCGGAGAGCAGAATGGTGGTTGCTAGGGACTGGCGGGGGTGGGGAGAGGAGGGAAATGGGGGGTTACTCTTCAACAGCTATAATGTCTCAGTTGCACAGATGAATATATTCTAGAGATCTGCTCTACAACATGGTGCTTAGAGTCAGTGGTACAGTATCGGACACTTACAAATTTGTTAGGAGTGTAAATCTCCTGTTAAGTGTCCTCAACACAGTAAAATAAAAATAAGGGCAATATGGTGGGTTTTCCATAAAGGTAAATTTGTTCTGAATTTGTGCCTTTTCTAGTTTTTACTGTTAAATATTCTAAGAAAAGTACCAGGCAATGACTTTTCTTTTCTTTCTTTCTTTTTTTTAAACTTTATTACTTAGCAAAATAAAAAGTTGGAAATACTGGGTGGTGGGGAGTATCTCCTTTTATATTGAAAGGCATAAAGCTTTGGTATCAGAAAAGTGGACCAGGCAGAATGCAGCATAGCCTAATGGGCAAGAGAGTGGACTCTGGAGTAGGTGATCCAGGTTCCACCCCACCCTGCTCCACCCTGCCCTGCCCCGCCTCTTACAGGGTTCCCTTGAAACCTTAGGAAATAGCTCTGGCCCTCTGGGAAATGGGAGTAGTATCTCATGGGGACTCATTATCCATGTGAGAAACTCATAAAATGACTCTAGTACATGCTAGCCATGATAGAGGTCATGTGACCCTGCACGTTTTTGCTTCTGCTTGAGAAGATAATATCTCCTGATGGAAAATGGAACCCTAGGGCTTATATGCATTAGTCAAGAGTTCCCCCACCAGTATTTTGGTTTCCTATTCCTGCCACAACAAGTGACCGCAAATTGACTGGCTAAGTGATACAAATTTATATTATCTTAGACTCCATAAGTCAGAAGTCTGGCGGCTCCAGGGGACAATCCATTTCCTCCTTCATTCAGGTTGTTGACAGAATTCATGTCAGTTCCTTGGGGTTGTAGGATCAAGCTCTGTTTTGCTGGCTGCCAGCTGAGGGCGGTTCTTAGTGTCTAGAGGCTGCAGCTTTCAGTGGCTCACAGCCCTCTTCGTCCAGTTTCAAAGCCAGCCAACTTCATGTGAGTCCTTTTCACGTCCCATTTCTCTGACCCTGTCTCCTGCCTCCTTCTTTGACTGTAGGAACCCATGGGATAAATCCAAAATAATTTCCCCATTGGAAGGTCAGCTGATTGATTAGCAGTCTGAATCCCGATGCCATGTTGATTCTCCTTTGCTATTGAAAGTAGCACAGTTTCCAGGATTAGGATGCAGACATGTTTGGGGGAGGCATGATTCTGCCTGTACCATATCCAGTGAACTGGAATTTCACTGGGGTCTTTAACAGGTCATTCATCCTTACCTTTTATTTCCTCTAAGTGACCTTTTACATAGAATAGGTAATGATTATTGAGCCCTTGCTGTGAGCTTGACCCTGGGCACTAAACTCTTTGTGTTTGCCAAGAGTCTGTGAGGCAGGTTCTATTAATTATCCCCATTTTACAAATGAGGAAACTGCATTTGGGGAAATTAAGTAATTGATCAAAATAATCAACTGATGGGGGCTCAGACATTTCAGTGAGCTGCTGTATCCCAGAGGTTTATCTGGAAATCTCTCTTCACGTGGCAGTGCATACTAATTAGCAATACATGTTTTAATTAAAACAAATGTTTCCATTTTGCTAATAGAAATTATCATTCATGCTCATGGATGTGGTAAGAAAATAAATTTTCTTCTGTAGACTAAGCAAGTTGACACAAAAAACTAACCATCACGGTGTTATTTAGTTTATTCCTCGAGCCCTGTATCGTCCAGTATGGCAGCCACTGGCTATCGAGTACTTGAAATATAGCTAGTCTGAATTGAGGCGTGTGCTGTAAATAGAATTCACAGCAGATTTAGAAGACATGGTACACATAAAAAGAACATATACTATCTCATTTTGGGTTGATTATCTGTTGAAATGGTAGTATTTTACATATGTTGGGTTAAATAAAATGTATTAATTACTTTAAAAAAACAATGAAACATGATAGGTGTTAAAATTTAGTTATAAGGAGAATGAGTTATAAAATATTTCAAATTCAGCTGTCTGAAAATGCAAAAACAATTAATTTCTGGCTCAGGCTAAATCACAATCTGTCTTTTGAAGTCAGAATGTTGTTTTTCTCTGAGCTCATGGCAGTTGCTGCCCAGAGAGATCTGTAATAGAGTGGAAGGACTCAATAGTTCTTTAGTGAGATATTTGACTGTCATGTTTTGTTATACTGTAAGTGATACATAACCAAACAAGAAAAATTTCCTAGCAACAGAGTTGTTTTCCTCAACCAGAAGAATATTTTATTTGCTCGTTTTCTTAATGTCCATAAGATGAAAAAGCTTATGTATTTAGCATCTTATATTTTTGAGATTGAGATGCTGGTGAGTATAGACAGTAGAATGTATAAGAATATCACAAAGAGTATTTGGCGAGTATTAGGTTACGGTAACTCAGACCTAAAATATATTTAACTAGGTAGAGAACTGTTTGGTTTTTATGACAGACCCAGTTGCTGAACATGGGTATTGCACTTAGCTTCATAAGCCTCTTTTTTAAATCTCCTTTTGTTCTTCATTAATTACACACCCAAACTTTTTTTTAACTCCCGTCAGATCTCTAGGTTCTACTGCATTTCATTTGTTTATTCAACACATGTTTGAATCCTGTGTTCTAGGAGGTCCTAGGGTTCTTGTGCCCTCATGAAGCTTAGTGAATGATTCAAACGTGAATGAAAGGATTCTACAAATCAGGAAGCACATGGTTGCTATGAATGTGAATACAAGGTTCTCATCTAAATCAAAGGGCAGGTGACAGGGGAAAGCCTTGATCTAAAGGATGAATAGTGGGGCACCTGGGTGGCTCAGTCGGTTAAGCGTCCAACTTCAGCTCAGGTCATGATCTCATAGTTGGTGGGTTTGAGCCCCACATCTGGTTCTGTACTGACAGCTCAGAGCCTGGAGCCTGCTTCAGATTCTGTGTGTCCCTCTCTCTCTCCTCCTCCCCCGCTCACTCTCTGTCTCTCTCAAAATAAAATAAAGACATTTAAAATTTTTTTTAAAATACAGGATGAATAGCATTTAGCCAGGTAGAAATTGGGATTGACTGGTCTAGGTCAAGGGATACATTTTGCAAAGTTCTCATCCTGGGAAAGAGCTTGGCAGGTTGGAAGAGCAACAGCAAGAAGGCCTCTGGGTGTGTGTGTGTGTGTGTGTGTGTGTGTGTGGTACACAGTACGGAGTCCTGTAGAGCTCTTTTTGGAGCAACAAGTAGACGTGGGTGTTGTATGATGATCCACCAAGCAATACATAGGGCCTTGTTTCCCAGAACTCCATCGTCAAGTGGAGGTGGTCTGTAGATAGCGTAACCGGATAATTTATCATCCAGGTCAGGATAATACACTTGAGAGTGAAAATGGGTGCTGTTCATTGTGCTGGGCCAGTGGGTATAAACTAGGATGACTTGTGTTAGGCAGGCTGTATGATCACCGTGCTTAGAGACCAGTTTTCACCCACTTCAGGAAGCCTGGAGTTGCCTAGAAGCCATGCTCTGAAATGACAGGGCTGGTTCTGTGTTCCTGCTTTCTCCTGGCCAGCTCTGCAAGAAGGCCACCAGGAGAACCTGTGCCAAGTCTAGACAACAGAACCCCAGCGCCATCGCTTCCTCACCTGCAGCCTTGATGGACATCAGCTCTTATTAACATGTTTTCAGACTAAACTAATATGTATAGGAAAGAAAGTAAAGCCTTAAACATTTAGCACTTGAACATTTCCTATTGGAAACCTTGCTGCATCACTTCTAGTGGTTGACATGACCTAATTATACGTCCCCAGATGGCAGCCAGGCAGAATGGGTGTAGTCCAATTATAACCTCTTTCTCAGTAAACATGTTGTGTGATTTGGCCCCTATTGTGGATGATACACAGAGAAGAATAGCTTTATTCTTTTTTATTTTATTCTTTGACAATGATGGCAGCATGAAGTAGTAAAGACCTCTTCTCACTCTCGATTTGATATTTTATAGAATTAGCTGTTTGGCCGAATCTCTGTGGTGAGGATTAATAAAGCTTTATTTCCTGCTCTCCTCTGTGCCTAAGTCAATGTCTACAGCAGAGCCTGGAGGGAGCCCTAGGAATCCCTTCAGTTAACTCAGAAATGGGCCATGTTGCATTATAATAATATTTAATATTGTATTCAGCCAAATACTGATGATGGGATGCTAGACATTCCACTTGTTTTAAAAGTTGCACTGTTTCTTTTTAAACTGTATTAATATTCTTTATTTTTTGTTTTATAAGCCAGGAAATGTGAAGAATTCATCTGGGAATAAGTAGACTACTCCATGCTCTGCCCATTTTAATCAGGTAAAGAGCAAGAGAACTCTGTAGTTCTTTTTAGCATTGTTAGCACCAGCTGAAATGACTTGTCCTTAATTTAATATAATGAATTACAGCGGCTTCAGCTTCATGTGGATATATAAGGGTCAGGATGATGTTTCTTTCCATCTTTAATTGTGGGCTTAAGTGTCTTCACTTATGTGTTCATTCCTGAGAAGTACCTGGGTTTTCAGACAAGCCAGAACTTGACAGTTGGAATTTGGCTACAAAACTACGAAACTATTTCAAACAATTGAAAAGCACCATTATTTCTTAGTTTTATGTTTTTTCAAATAACACTTTAGTATAGTAGGCATCCTTGTATTCATTTAATAGTCATTAAAGAGGGGCGCCTGGGTGGCTTAGTCGGTTAAGCGTCCAACTTTCGCTTAGGTCATGATCTCGCGGTTCATGGGTTCGAGCCCCGCGTCGGGCTCTGCGCTGACTGCCAGCTCAGAGCCTGGAGCCTATTTCAGAGTCTGTATCTCCCTCTCTCTCTGACCCTCCCCTGCTCACGCTGTCTCTCTCTCTCTCTCTCTCTCTCTCCTAGAAATAAATAAAAAAATATTTTAAAAAACAGTCATTAAAGAAACATTTGTTGGGGGTGCCTGGGTAGCTCAATCAGTTAAGTGTCCAACTTCAGCTCAGGTCGTGATCTCACGGTTTGTGGGTTTGAGCCCTGCATCTGGTTCTGTGCTGACTTTTCAGAGCCTAGAGCCTGCTTCAGGTTCTGTGTATCCCTCTCTCCCTCCCCCTCCCCCGCTAGCACTCTGTCTCTCTCTGTCTCAAAAAAAAGTAAACATTAAAAAAAAAAGAAACATTTGTTGAATGCATGACGGTTGTAGAGAAACTCAAGATTATATAAAGATATTTTAAGTGCCATTAGGAATTCATATGTGTAATTATTCTTTCTTTAAAAATTGAGTAACCTGGAGGCTAGAGAAATTTAGGATGCCAGATGAAGCCAGAAAAATCAGTGTGATTCCTTCTGGTCTTATACTCTATTCGCTGTTTATTGTCATCCATTTGTTTAGTATTTACTCATGAGTACCAGCTAAATACAAAAAAGTAGTTGTATTAATATTAGTTTTTGTATATATTAAAAATTATATGATAGCCCTTGTGATTTCCTGATAAGATTATATTGAGTTTGCAGATAGTCTAAATATTCAGCTATAAAAAGTGGCTCAATTATGGTATATCTATAAAGAGGAACATTACTATGTTTCACTAATATTTAATTGCATGGAAACTTGTTAAGTGGGGAAAAAATAGCATGATACATTGTTAGAGAGGATAAAGACCAGGAAATACAACAAAAAATTTAAGTGTATGTCTTGGGATCGTAGAATTATGGATGTTCTTTATAGCTTTTCTTTGTGTTAAAAGTTTATTTATAAAAAAAAAAGTTTATTTATTATGAGAGAGTGAGCGTGAACAGGAAAGGGGCAGAGAGAGGGGAAGAGAGAGAATCCCATGCAGGCACCATGCTCAGTGAGGTGCCCAAGGTGGGGCTTGAACTCACAACTCTGAGATCAGTGATCACAACCTGAGCCGATATCAAGAGTTGGATGCTCAACCACCTGAGCCTCCCAAGTGTCTCTGTAGTTTTTCTTCTATATAATTGTTTATATTTAAAATTTTTTAATGTTTTTATTTAATTTTGAGAGGGAGAGACAGAGCACAAGCAGGGGAGGAACTGAAAGAGAGGGAGACACAGAATCTGAAGCAGGCTCTAGGCTCTGATCTGTCAGCACAGAGCCCAGCACCAGGCTAGAACCCACAAACCATGAGATCATGACCTGAGCTGAGGTCGGCACTTAACCGACTGAACCACCCAAGAGCCCCTAACTTTCTATATTTTAAAACTTGCTGCAGTGAATATGATTTTTTAATAGTCTTTTTAAAAAAGAATTGCTAGATTTATTATAAATCATGGCTGCTATTTACAATCCACAAAAGCCCCCAGTGTGAGGTTTTTCTTTCTCAGGCTATCTCCATATTTTTGGAGACGCAGAGAGTCATATGATCTTAGAATTTGAGAGAGGTCATCTGGCCCCCAGCCAGCCTCCAGCATAAATACCCTGTAGCCCTGCGTGTGCTCACTTTTCATCTCCACTGATAGGCAGCTCATCCCACAGGGCAGCCATCTTCGGACAGTTCTCATTTTTAGGAAGCTGTTTCTTTTTTTTTTTTTTTTTTTTTTTTTTTTAGGAAGCTGTTTCTTATACTAAGGAAAATTATGTCTTTTTGTAACTCTTATGCAATGGTCCCGATTCTGCCTTCGGGGTCACAAAGAACAAACCCAGATCCTCTTTCACATCTCAGCCCTTCATATAGTAACCCCAAGTCGTACTTCTCAAATTTTGTTATACAAACAAATTACTGCAGGAGATTGTTAAAAGGCAGAGGCCTACGCCCCGCCCCACCCTAGAATCAGCCTCTCTGGAGAGCAGGACCACGGGGGCATTGGATGGACCTGCTGCTGGAAGAGAGACTGGAGTGGGAGTGGCCGGGAAGCCACACATGCCCTCCAGAGACCTTACGTTGAATATGTGTGTTTCTCTGCAGGGACAATGAGACTTGGAATACAGGGAAACTGCATAAACACCTATTTCATCTTTCCCAAATATTCTGGGCCATAGTTCAGCCTACTGTCCATACTTTGATCTCACTCTTTATTTTTTTTACATCTCTATTGGAGATGGCGTTTTCAATTATAAAAGTGGTGCATATTTGTTGTAAAGAATTTTTTTTTAGATAAATATTTTTAAACTCTGTCTTGTCCTCTGTTCCTTTCCCAGAGTTGATTTCTGTTAACAGTTTGGCATACCGTTCCAGACTATTTTCTCTGTGTGTACATGTGTGCACATCCATACCCTCTTTGGGTTTTTTGACAGAATGCACTCATATCCCTGTATTATCTTGCATGTATACTGAAAGCTCCATGAGGGAACACATCGATGTTTTATCATCACATCTAAAGAATTAACACTTAGGTTTTAATATCATCTCATATTCAGGTAGCATGTAGATCTCTCTGATTGTCTTTTTGCATTTGTTTTGTTTGAATCAGGATCCAAATGAGATCTCTCCATTACATTTGACTGATAGGTCCCTGAAGTCCCCTTTAAACTGTAGTAGTTCAAGGGCGCCCGGGGTGGTTTAGTCAGTTAAGCCTCTGACTTTGGCTCAGGTCATAACCTCACAGTTCGTGGGTTCGAGCCCCGCGTCAGGCTCTGTGCTGGCAGCTCAGAGCCTGGAGTCTGCTTCAGAATCTGTGTGTCCCTCTGTCTCTGCCCCTCCTCTGCTCACACTCTGTATCTCTCAAAAATAAAGATTAAAAAAATTAAAAATAAAATAAACGGTAGTAGTTCCTTCTCCTTCATTTTCCCCTTGCCTTTCATTTTTTGAAAAACAGGCCTATTTATCCCAGATCCCGCATCCTGGCTGTGGCTCAGTGCATCCATTTAGTGTCATTCTGTTTATCTGTTTATCTGCTTTTCTCTGCATTTCCCATAAAACGATAATTAGATTTACGTTCAATTTTGGTAAGAATACTTCATAGTGCTGTGTTCAGCTGTGTTGAACACATGAAATAACTTGCCTTGTTTTGCTTAATGTATTATGTACATCTTTTTCTCTTAGTACTTAGAGATCTTTCTTTCTCATTCCTCCTCTTAGCTGCTTACTAATTTCCTAATATGGAGTACCATGCCTTATTGAATCCTTATCACTACAGGCTGTTTCCAGTTTATATTTGTTTTTTTAATTTTTTAAAATGTTTATTTAATTTTGAGAGAAAGAGACAGAGTGCAAGCAGGGGAGGAGCTGAGAGAGAGGGAGGCACAGAATCTGAGGCAGGCTCCAGGCTCCGGGCTGTCAGCACAGAGCCCAACATGGGGCTCGAACTCACAAACCGAGAGATAATGACCTGAGCCAAAGTCAGACGCTTTACTGACTGAGCCCCCCGGGCGCCCCAGTTTGTAGTTCTGACAGTGCAGTAAATGTATTGAGTTCCTAGAGATAAAACATCTATTTATGTCTCTAAAATATTTATAAACCCATCATTGCTAAGTAGATTCATTGCATGTTAGGAAAAAACCAATCGGGAGGGGCGCCTGGGTGGCTCAGTCGGTTAAGCGTCCGACTTCGGCTCAGGTCATGATCTCATGGTTCGTGGGTTCGAGCCCCACGTCGGGCTCTGTGCTGACAGCTAGCTCAGAGCCTGGAGGCTGTCTTCGGATTCTGTGACTCCTTCTTTCTCTGACCCTCCCCTGCTCACGCTGTCTCTATCTCTCTCTCAAAAATAAATTAAAAAAAAAAAAAAAAGCAATCGGGAGAAGAGTTGGTTTGGTCCTTGGCGTGTCTTTGGAGGCTGTGTCTTCCATTCTAGAAGAGAACGATGGGCTGATGAGAGGAAAGGTATACGTCAGACCCACAGCGGTAGAATCATGCTCCTTCATCACGTGGACAGAAATGTAATCGTTTGGTTTTTCAGAAGGGGAGATATGTGTGTGGTGTGCCATTTAGGCATTTATTCTTTATTTATCCATCTGTGTCATTGAGCTCAGATACACAGCCAGTGAATCTGAATGTAGTTTGGAAGAAACACAAAACCTTCCTGATTTGTACTTTATGCATCTGTAAAATGGAAATAATTACAGTTTCCTCCACCTCATTATGATCCTCATGGTCAATTAATAGTAATGAGTAATATAAATATTTGATATGGCTTCTCACTTTAAACCTAATGAATTTTCAAAAAGCAGAGTTTTAGAGTTCTCTTTTTATTTTTGACAGTTTACTTACCGTTTTCTTTTTCTTTTAGTTATAGGTAAACATTGGAAACTCCATGCAGTAAATCAGTATTTCTACAGAAAAAATGGCGGAGAAGTCAGTACTGAATGTAGTGAATTGGCTTTCTTCTTCTGGAAAAACTATACTAGGCTTCTTTGTGATCTTGGGTGATACCACACTCCAAGTGGACGAATTGGAAATCTTTTCACCTGGAGATAATGTCCAGCCTTAGAGCTCCTCATTCTCATGTTGCTATTTATGTACATAATTAAAATTCCAAGTTAAAAAAATAGTTCTTTTTTTTTTTTTTATGTTATTGAGTGACATTGCAAGCACATCTGGTGCCCATGTGTGTGGTATGTATGGTGTGTCTCTCTGAGTGTATATGTGTGTGTACGTGGTGTGTGTATGTGTATGTGTTTAAGAAAACCATTAACTTAGGCACCTGGGTGGCTCAGTCAGTTAAGCGTCCAACTCTGGCTCAGGTCATGATCTTGCTGTTCTCGAGTTCGAGCCCCGCATCGGGCTCTGTGCTGACAGCTCAGAGCCTGGAGCCTACTTCCGATTCTGTGTCTCCCTCTCTCTGCCTCTCTCCCACTCACATTCTGGTTTTTTTTTTTTCCCCTCTCTCTCTCTCTCTGTCTTTCTCTCATGAAATAAATAAACATTAAAAAATTTTTTTAATTGAAAAAAAAGAAAAAGCATTAACTCCTCTCAGGGCAGTAGCAGCTGGCTATCTGCACAGTCCAAGCACCACAAGTGTCGAGCGGCTTGGCTCAAGAGCTGAGAGACGATGCTTCGATGGCCAGTAGGAGAACATGACGACCTGTAAGCACTAGTTGGCCTGGCACAAATTAGCAGACATACAAAAGAAACAGTAGCCGTGACCATTGTGTTCCATTGCCTCCCAGCTTTTCCAGATCTTCCACGGCCTGAATGTCCATGCAAGGCGCATAACGAAGCGGTCTCTGTTCTCTGCCGGCAGAGGAACGGTATGTGGTCGCATGTGTTGGTTTGGTGTGTGTAAGCCTTGCCTCCCCTCTTGTAGCCCTTGAGTGCACAGCTCCCTGCGCTCTGTGTTTTCAGGGCTGATGGGAAGAACAGGAGCCCCTGCCGACCTGTCAGCCAGCCAGGGAGGACGCCCCGGGAACAGCATGTGAAAGAGAATGGACAATTTCCAAATAGCAGTCAGATTGGAAATTAAAAGTTGTCGTTGTATTCTTGTAGTGTCAATTTAATTCCTAATTGGTGACCTTCCAGATTTGACAGCATTTGGTAAGATAGCAATACCCAAACGGAACGTGCTCATGTTAATGTTAAATACACTTGAGGGAGCCAAAATGGCAGCACCGTTGCCAGCATTGTTACCGGATGAGTGAGCTGAAGCAAATTTGTCCCCAGAGTAATCCCTGTAGTGACCCAGAAATCTTTATTTCCTTTTTTGCCAAAATACTTTTGTGTTACTGTGCCAGTCATCCAAATATATTAAAGCTGTGCCTAAATTTAATACCTCATAAATATTCCATTATTATTTCAGGCTTTTCCCATTGGCTTCTTAATATCACCCCCAGAAAGTACAGACTCCACACGTTTCCTCGTTCTTGAGATTGCTTGATCTAGAGAAGATGAAGAAATGGCTCACACCACAGCACGCTCTAGAGGTCATTAATCAAAAGGTATTTGAGAGCTTCCTAACTGTAAGGTATTACTTCCCATTTTTAACCCTTTAGTGGATATCGAAACATTGCTTCGAAATCTCTTAACCCTTGTAGGAGGGGAGGGGGAGGTGGGGGTCACGGCGCCGGCTCTGAGTAGTGTGTAGCCTGCATTTATGACCACGAGCTCATAACTTTCCAAGCTGGCTAACTCAGCTGCCCTTTATCCTATGATCTTCTCCTTCCTGAGTGATTTGTATCCAGTGCTGTCTGCCTTTTCTATTTAACTCTTTGCATGCCTTCCATGAACCCTCAACTGTAGGGACGAAAAAATTCGCATATTGTAAGATCTTGCATTTCTCTAGCTCTTTATACTTTTCACTTTTTGATTGTGTCTTGGCTTATTCCTGATCTCAGTACATTTGTACTGTTTTTCTCTGTCCTGAGGTAATGCTTTCTACTTATGTTTACAGTTTTTATTCTGTTTCGTATGACTGGTTCCCTTATGATAAAATTATGAATGTCAAGGGGTCCCTGGGTGTTGTCTCAGCTTGGGTCATGGTGTCACAGTTTTGTGAGTTCGAGCCCCACGTTGGGCTCTGTGCTGACAGTGTGGAGCTTGCTTGGGATTCTCTGTCTCCCTCCCTCTCTGCCCCTCACCCAGTCATGCTCGCTCGCTCTCTCTCTCTCTCTCTCTCAAAATAAATAAACAAACTTAAAAAAAAGCTATGAATCTGAATCGAGTTTAGCTATAATCTAGTCAGTACAAGTCTATTTGAATAGGTTTAGAGACTTTGGAGGGAGTGTTGTGTCCAATACAGAGTGATTTCAGTTCCCCTGAAGAGACACATGTGGGTGGTCTGTTCTGTGATGATGTGCTAGTTGGAGTCCTAACAAAGACTGCTTTGTCATCAATCAGGACTGTAAAACAGTTGTTTCAGTGGAGGGAAATGGACCAGAGGTGCTAAAGAATGCCTTCATCAGTCTTCTTGCCTGTGTTTCCCCTTGGGACAAAGTCGAAACAGTAGTAGATGGGGCGCCTGGGTGGCTTAGTCGGTTGGGCGGCTGACTTCGGCTCAGGTCATGATCTCATGGTTTGTGAGTTCGAGCCCCGCGTCGGGCTCTGTGCTGACAGCCAGCTCAGAGCCTGGAGCCTGTTTCAGATTCTGTGTCTTCCTTTCTCTCTGACCCTCCCCTGCTCACACTGTCTCTCTCTCTCTCAGAAATAAATAAAATGTTCAAAAAAAAAAAAAGAAACCGTAGTAGATGGAAGAATGAAGGCCAGCTGGGGGACCAGCCTCCATGGCAGCGCAATAGCAGGTGCCAGGCCGCCGGGCTAGCAGCTTTCATTGTGGTGCACTGCCTGATCCCAGCACAGAGGTGTCCCGTGTAATGCAAAGTACTTCCCTAATGGAACAATGACATTATATTCAAATGGCCTAAAGGAAATTCATACCATAGGTAAAATGCTTGCATTCACATATACAAATGGAAAAGCGTGACTTGCTTGTGGCTAAATAACCAACGACAGTTAAAATTAGGCCGTGTAGTGAGTATTACTGATTTTTATTTGTTTAAAGATCAAGTTCGGAATCCTTAAATTAAGCCAAAAAGAGACAGAGATTATGTTTTCCTCAGTGTCCTATATTAACGCACTTTGCACTCATTTTCTGGGAAAGGTTTGATGTGTAGAGAAAGGCTTTTCCTTATGACCGACAGTATTCATGCTGATTACATAAGCTGAATGATTACCGTGAGTGTAAGAGTTTTCACTTTTTAATTTAATGCACCCACCCAGTCTAATGCAAAAGCCTCCGTGAGAGGACCAGCAATATATGTGTGGGACTAAATTCTTATCCAAAGCTTAATTTTAATTAAAGGTAAATATTTGAAATAAGAGGACTCTAAACTGGTAAGGAAGAAGTAAAACTCTCACTCTTTGCAGAAGACATGATACTATATATAGAAAACCTTTAAGACTCCATCAAAAAACTACTAGAACTGATAAACAAATTCACTAGAGTCGCAGGATACAAAATCAATGTACAGAAATGTCATGCATTCCTGTACACTAATAATGAAGCAACAGAAACTGAAATTAAGAAAACATGTACACCAAAATCAACAAAATATCTAGGAATAAACCTATACTCTGAAAACTGTAGAACACTGATGAAAGAAATTCAGGATGACACAAAGAAATGGAAACACATTCCATGCTCATGGGTTCGAAGAACAAACATTGTTAAAATGTCTATACTACCCAAAGCAATCTATACATTTAATGCATTCTCTATCAAAATACTAATAGCATTTTACATAGAGTTAGAACAATCTTAAAATTTGTATGGAGCCACAAAAGACCCGGAATGGCCAAAGCAGTCTTAAAAAAGAAAAACAAGGGGTGCCTGGGTGGCTCAGTTGGTTAAGCAGCTGTCTTCAGCCTCAGTCATGATCTTGCTGTTCCCAAGTTCGAGCCCTGCATCCAGCTCTGTGCTGAGAGCTCAGAGCCTGGAGCCTTTTTCAGATTCTATGTCCCTCTCTCTGTTCTCCCCTCCTCACTCTCTCTTTTTCTCAAATAAATAAAGATTCAAAAAAATTTTTTAGGAGTACAAATCTTCTGCACAGCAAAGGAAGCAATCAACAAAACTAAAGGTCACCATACAGAATGGGAGAAGATATTTGCAAATGACATACCCTATAAAGGGTCAGTACCCAAAATGTATAAAGGACAGATACAAGTCAACACCCAGAAAACAAATAATCCCATTTAAAAATGGGCAGAAGAAATGAACAGACATTTCTCCAAAGACATAGAGATGGCCAACAGATGCATGAAAAGATGTTCATCATCATCATCACGGGAATACAAATCAAAACCACAGTGAGCTATCACGTCACACCTGTCAGGATAGTAAAATCAACAACAACACAAGAAACAACAGGTCTTGGTAAGGGTGTTGAAAAAGAGGAACCCTCATGCACTGTTGGTGGGAATGCAAACTGGTGCAAGGCACCATAGAAAACAGTATGGAGTGTCCTCAAAAAAATAAAAATAGGATTACCCTACAATCCAGTAAGCACGCTGCTGGGTATATGCCAAAAATACAACAGCACTAATTCCGAGGGACACATGCACCCCTGTGTTTATAGCACATTATTTACAATAGCCAAAGTATGGAAGCAGCCCAAGTGTCCGTCAGTAGATAAACAAAGAGTATGTGGTAATATTATTCAGCCATAAAAAAGAATGAAATCTTGCCATTTGCAATGACCTGGATCGAGCTAGAGAGTATATGGTAAGCAAAACAAGTCAGAGAAAGACAAATATCATATGATTTCACTCACATGGGGAATTTAAGAAACAAAATAAGCCAGAGAAAAGAGACAAACCAAGAAACAGACTCTTAACTCTAGAGAAGAA